AAACAAAATTATATTAGTTTTAAAGTTGTGTTTTTACATTATTAAAAAGTATGTCTTTTCATTAAAAAAATTGAAATCTATTAGTTTCAAAAGTTGTGTTTCTTCACCATTAATAAATTTATGGCTTTTCATAAAAGAGCTCAACACTATTAGTTTGAAGAGTTGTATCTTTTGATAAAAAAATAAATATATTAGTTTTAAAGTTGTATCTTTTCATTATAAAAAAGTTGTGTATTTTCCAAAAATGACCTCTGTTATTTTTAAAAGTTGCGTCTTTTCATGATAAAAAATAATTTGTGTTTCAAAAAAATAGTTTAAAAAGTAGTTAAAATAAGTTATAAGAATGGTGTCTTCTCATAATAAAAAGTAGATTAATTATAACAACCCAAACTAATATTTAAACTTGTGAAAATAAATATGATTGTGACTCTTAAAAAGCTACGTGCTTTGAAATAGATATCTCTTGAAAGAATAATTACCAAAAAAATTGATGACATCAACACTCATTGTAAAGAGTTTTTTTGTCCATTAGATCATAAAATCAAGTAAATTATGACTATTGTATTCGCACGAGAACTCATTTATAAAATCAAATAATTTATAATAATAACTTTTGTATAAAACTTTACAATTTCTTTTGTGGTTTACTATTTTCACATTGGAAAAAATTAGTATTTTAAGTATTTTCTTTATGTACTATGTTTCGTGAAAAATAATATAAAATTTAGAAATTGTTGTAATTGTATATTAACTTATGTTGACGTGGCCCATTTTATTTATATTAATACCTTAATTTTATGAAATTCTTATAAGAATATAATAATTGCATCTTTTAAAGAGTAATATTTTGAAGTTGATCTGGTATTGAGATATAAAGACTTTAAAACTTAAATGTTTCTCCATCAAATTTTCCAAGCCTATTCTATGATAATATATTAATAACAAATAGAGTTTTTTTTGTGTTTATATGTATTTCTTCAAAGACTTTTTTATGATCTTTTAATAAAGAATTTCTCTTTTTTCTAGTCTATTTATGATTGTTATGGTTTTTAATTGTGATTTGTTAATGTTCAGTTCTTTATATAAAGAAATAAGGATTGCAAAGGTTGATAACCAAACATTGAAATGCTTAGCTAAAGGGTTAGTTGTAATAGTTTATCCCTAAAAAAAATAATCACTAACAATTGCAATTATTCATCAGAAAAGATTGTAATGGTCATCACTAAAAATTGTAATCACCACAACAGTTGAAATGTTTCATTTAATCAGTAGTCCTTTTCACCAAACAATTACAAAATCACTTAGGCGATTGCAGATATTCACTTTGATCCTTAATAATTCACTGCTGTTTGAGTGTGATTAAACTCATGTATAAAATAAAACGTTTTAGCCTATCCAATTTTTATGATGAAGAACCACATGTTTATACCTTTGACAACATATTTTATACCCATGAAATGATCGAAATGACACATTTATAGACGTTTTGAAAATTCTTTTAAATCAGTGCGATTTTCAGGATAAGATGACTTATTTTAAAGATAAACATATACACCATTTTAACAATTTATTTAAACCAATGGAAGAGTTTCCCTCTTCTATAACACCAGTTATAATTGTAACTAGATCATAACCCGCCCGACTGGACGGGTATTTATTTTTATGGTATATATAACATTTGAAAATTACAATTTTACTAAGTATTAGTATATTATTTAAACATTGTATTTTGTCACTGTATTGTGTAACAGGGGCGTCGTAAAATGTTGTGACCCGTAAACATTTTAGCAATAGTTTATAAAGTTTTTTGGCTAAATAAACTATTACTAAAATGAATACATATATGTATAAATAATTTTCAGAAATAAAATAATATCATGATAGAAAACCCAAAAACAATAATAATAGTACATTGGGCCGCAGTAATCTTTAGTTTAATAATCAAGCCCATTAAATTTGTAGGTTATCCTTGTTTCCAATCATCATAATTTTAAATATTCCTATTCATGTTTCCAAACACTAACTTTTTGTACTTCAACTTTAATAGTATAGATACAATAAAACTATTTGCTAATTGACCTCACAAGAATCACAAATTCAATTTAGTTTAGAGTATATTATGCATTAAAAACCAGCCGTTAAATTTTCCCTCTTCTATAACACCAGTTATAATTGTAATACAATAAAACCAGCCGTTAAATTTTCAACTTACACCAACTTTCACCGATGGTGTTTTCCATTAAGAAGCTCTNTACAATAAAACTATTTGCTAATTGACCTCACAAGAATCACAAATTCAATTTAGTTTAGAGTATATTATGCATTAAAAACCAGCCGTTAAATTTTCCCTCTTCTATAACACCAGTTATAATTGTAATACAATAAAACCAGCCGTTAAATTTTCAACTTACACCAACTTTCACCGATGGTGTTTTCCATTAAGAAGCTCTTCCCTGCAAGCAAAATAGTTCCAAATCTTCTTCTCAATCTACATGCAGAATTGAATCCTTGGTGATAAAAGTCCATCCCTCTCATGCCCCGAAAACATATTATAACCCAAACTGGTTTACTCTTCGATTTTCCAAAAACGAAGACAATTGCCGTGTATAGAAGATATACTTCAACAATCTAAAATTAACAACAGAAGACCCAGCCATGGTGACTTTCCGGCTAGTAGTGAGAAACTCAAAACTCTAGCCAACCAGATTTTCCACCACAAACGTAACGACATCTCACTCGTACTCAGCAGTCACATCGTAGAACATTTTATACAGATCCAACTCAATCTTAATGGTGGTGGCATGCATGGAAGTTTCAATCCATCTGATTGGAAAAGAAACAAATCGTCAGATGCAAACGAAACAATGACAGATAGGATATATACCCCATCCGCTAGACCACCGTGACCCATGGTGGTTCTATCTAATGGTCCTGAAAATGTATTTGGTTGAACTTTTTTTTCTTCGCAACTCTTGAAAATATTCATTTAAAACAAAACACAACTCTTGATAATCTATCAATGTACCTTTTCAGATTACTAAAAATAGAACGTTTTAGAGATGCAATTTTTTAAGAAAATTTATGTGTTTTTTTCTAATATAGGTATGATTCTTAGTACTCTTGAATATAATGTTTGATTCATTATATAGTTTTAAACGATCTTTAAAAATTTAATGTGGTGTCTGCAAAAATAAATTAATAGATTTAGTTTCAGTGAAACTAAACTACCATATCCAAACCAATCTGGCTGTAAGAAAACAACCTAAATTTTTTTGTGTAATCTTTTATTCTACTTCTGATAAAGTCCATTTTTTTTTATATATCTAACCCAGTTTGTATGGAGGTACTAAGCCTCATAGATTTAAAATTGTCGTTCTTTGCAAGATAATTACAGTGTTTTAAAACATATTGTATTATTTAATTAAAAGATTTAAACAGTTCCATCATTTCAACAAATTTTAAAAGTTTGTCTTCTCATATATAAAAAGATAAAAGAAAAGTTCGACTTTAATATTAAAGTTTACTTAATTAATATTGTTATGCTAGACACATAACATTTAAATTTATACATTTTCAAACACAAATTATATTTTCACTCTTCTATTATATAAGATTATTTTTTAAGTATTGATCTTCGTAAAAAATAATTAGTTTATTAAATGATTCAAAATGATTGACTAACAGATATAAATTATATAAAATTACTTTAAAAAAAAACATCTTTTCTTCCGCGCGTTTACGCGCGGGATGGTTTCCTAGTATATATAACAACTATCTTTTTATTTAAGATATATTGTTAAATTTTGTATAATTCCTGTTAATATTAATTTTAATAACTTTATCTAATAAAAAAAATTGAAATTCGTTTTTAATTGGTGGATAATTAATCTGTTTTATATATTTAGAAATCATATTTTAATTTTAAATTTACTGTCTTTTCAAATATATAAACTTAAAAATTTTACTTAATTAATATTTAGTTATGTATTTTCTGTTTTTTTTTAACTTTCATTAAAAGATTTTATAGATAACAACACAATATATATATATATATATATATATATCTTATTATATAAAACTTGGTTTTCAAAGTTACTAATTAACATGATCGCGACACATGGCGATTATATATTTAAGATTATGTCATGTGTTAAATAACAATTTTTTTTTTAAAAAAAAACTTAAACTAAAATTGTAAAAGAATGTTTAATGTTAATTTTCTTTTATTCAAATCCTAATTAAAAAAACATAAACCAAAAAGAACTATCATTATTCACATATTAACACATTTTTTTGAAAAATAATATAGTTTTTTCGTTTTTAAAAATCTTATACCAGAAAGGATAGGACAGTTCTCTCAAATAGCCTTCTTTTAAGTTTTTATCACAAAATAGACCTCAAAAATTTAAATGACCAAAATAACACTTTTTATTTTGAAAATTTTAAGTTTTTTTTTTAATTTTTTTTTAATTCGAAACTCTATCCCCAAAACTCCACTCCTTAACTCTAAACAAAAAAAAATCTAGGATTAGTTAACCCAAGGGTATAAATGTATATTTAATAAAACATTTAAGTGATATTTTGGTCATTTTAATGGTCTATATTTGTGATAAAAAAAATTTTAGGTCTATTCTAGTATATATATAAGAACTATCTTTTTTATTTAAGATATATTTTTAGATTTTGGATAATACATATCGATATTAATTTTAATAACCTATCTAATAAAAAAATTAAAACTCGTTTATTAATTTGTGGCTAATTTATATGTTTTATTATTAATGATAGTATCGATATTAACAACTATAACTTTTAACGTAAGAGCTCAATTTTGAAAAGTCAATTTCGCAAATAATAATATAGATTTCTTCCATATGTTAACCAAGTTAATTGGTTTCAATTAATAACCCGATCCATTGACCCAAAAAGAACCCGATCCATGTTAATAGTGTTGTGTCTATGGTTACTAGCATGTGCTGTCCACAGTCCTCTTATATTCCCTCCTAATTCCTTTAGGCTCAGATTTCTCCGTTCCACCCAAACACCACCGCCTTCTTACTTCTAGATGCTCTTATCTTCCTCTCTACGTCTCAGAATCACCCCCCACGTGAATTGCCGACCCAATCAATGGGTTTCTCTCCTTCACACACCAGATTCTAAGCTTCATTCAATTCGCTAATTCTCCTTAAAAAACCCTAATTTTTCGAATTTAAGCTGGTCTGAGTCAGTGATCTAGTGCATAGCCTGCTCAATTGCTCGCAATGTCGGATGACTTGGTGTTGCAATTCTCCTCCAATTCTTCCAATCAGTCCGATCACTCCTTCCCCGATAAAATCGCCAAGCTCGAGGCTCGCTTAACCGGCAAAACCGCCTCCTCCGCCAAGCCGCAGCCGCAACAGCAGCAGCTCTCCGTCTGGTCATCTTCTTCCTCCGCCGCGGCTCCTGCTCCGGTTGGATCCTCGTCGGAGGCCTCTATCAGTGACTCCGACGACGAGGTAGCTTTGAATGTTTTTTCTTTTTTGTAGATTCAGCTTCTTTTTTTTATGTGTTATATACAATGATTCTTGTGTGCTTCAGAGCTCTGTTGACAGTATTATTCTCCGTATCAGAATACAGGAGACTTCCTCATCCGAGCCAATACCAAAAAGCGCCAGAAAGTTCAAGACTTTAATAACAACACCTCCATTGTTGCTGATCACCCTGAGGTACTAGTGATCGTTTCGTTAATTTTGTGGTAGTTGTTGTGTGACTTATTATGATTGTCTCCTTCCCTATTTGCGTGGATTATGTTGAATTAAAGCCCCAAGAGGCAGCAGCGTTTGAGGGAAGGAAAAACGAGGCTGAGACCAAGACGGGACTTGATGTTAGTAAGAAGAAACAAGGTCGAGGTCGAACAGGTAGAGGGCGTGGTTCTAAAGCTAATAATGATGCCACTAAATCTCAGTGTTTGGCTGCACCAGTAGGAGCTCAACTGAATGTCTCTGATCAAAAGGTTTTAATGTTGTTTACTCTTTCATATGATTTTACATGAAACAGTTCCTTCTTATCATCGATAGTTAGTTTCATTGACAAACGGATGAGTTTTATGTTCTAATCTGAAATATAACTTTCTGTGGCCTATAAAGGAAAATATCTAGCAGCGCAAAATTAAGATCATTTCTCTCTTTGTTGAGAAAATCTCTATCTTGATTTGCATTGATCTTGGCAACCAGAGGCAGTTTATTGATATATAATTCTGCGTTTTTATTCTTCAGGATTTTAGGCCTAATGGACAGCTCAGGAATGGTGAAAGCTCTCTCCAAGATGTAAGTTTCTCCTATTATTTCCTTTACTCTGTTAGTATCTTCTGCCTTTAAGAGAATATGTTAACGTCCCGTTATCTACGACTTCTATGCATCTTATAAGTTTGTTAGAATACATGATTGTCATAATATTTTTATCCTCAACAATGCAAACACCCTGTTATATCTTCTTTACTAACAGTTCTTTTTCCTTGTTTATAAATCAGGACGATGTGTCATCCTTACGTGCAAAAATCACTATGCTGGAGGAGGAATTGTGTAAATCTCGACAAGATTCCTCTGAGCATCAGAATCTAATACGGAAGCTTGAGAATGTATTGTGTGAACGCCTTTTAGATTTATCCCATTCTGGTTATGCTATTACCATTTTGTCTATATCTATCTCCTGTTAATCTTAATCATGACATGCAGGAGTTGAAAGATCTAAAAGATCAGGAACAACAAGGGAAGCAAAAGGTGGGCAATCTTTTCTTTTCCGTGACCAAATAGTGGTTATTAAGAGGTCGTATTATCTTTTTTTTTTAATGTATAACCTAGTATGCATAGTTCCTTTTAGTGTTGTCAAAGATTCTAGTGAGAATCGTAGATTAAATAAATATCGTTCTCGTAAGAAGTATGGCAGTTCTATCCTGAGAATAGGGAAGTCATTGATAGATTTGCTTAGAATACTCGCTAAATTTAATGCTGCCGTTGCTGCTAGAGAATTGAAATATATCATTGAATGGTTGGATTTTCCATTTTGTATGCCAAATCTATACTCCATGAGCTATTACCATTTTTTGTCTATATCTTCGTAGAGCATGTATTAGTATTTCTCTAAGTAATTTAAAAGGCAATCTATTGTGGAAACGATATGTAGTGGCTAACTTTCTACCTTCTAGTGACTCATAGGTGATGGTTTTTTAAACAAACTGGGTATGGTCATGTCCGCTTGGTGCCTAAACTGGCAGAAATTTTGCACATCCTCTTAGAAATATTCTCTTGCCTTTTCTTTGTAATTTTCATGATATTTGTACATTTCTAATGCAAAACATGCGGACATCCTTTCTTTTCTTGATGCAGACAACTAAAGTTATATCTGACCTTCTCATATCTGTTTCCAAAAGTGAAAGACAAGAAGCAAGGGCAAAAGTCAGACATGATTCTTTGCGATTAGGCAGCGTTGGTGTACTCAGGTCTGCATAATGTATTTCATATGATTTCTTTTTGTATTAGTATATATTTCTTCAATTCTGTGATCATTTACTCAGTATTGAGAATATATTTGACTGGGAAGTATAAACATGTATAGTAAATAAATTCTTGCTGTTTATTAGAATCGTTGAAACCATTTCGAATGGAGTGAGTTAGTCTCACATTTATCTTTAACCTGTAGCTCAAAGTCTTCTTTGTTTGGTTACGAGGTTAATTTCTTTAATTTGTGATTTAAAGTTCAATCTATTAGATGTGTGACTGCTTTGGTGATTTTCAGGACGGGAACCATCATAGCTGAGACATGGGAAGACGGACAGATGTTGAAAGATCTGAATGCTCAACTTGTAAGTTAAGCTGTGTAGAGTCTAGAGAGACAATTTTATCAAACAAGAACAGTAATCCTGGACTGCCTGTTTTGATTTTTCTATAAAATTTGCTACGAGCAGAAACAATTACTGGAAACCAAGGAGGTTATTGAGAGACAAAGAAAACTCCTGAAGAAGCGACAGAATGGTGGTATGTTTGTTTTCCTATAGTTCTTACTTTGTCAGTCAATGGGCGATCTCGTGTAATGTATGTTGTCTTCTTTTTCTCCTAGTTCAAATTGTAATTATGTTAACCTACCTTGGTTTTTCCATTTGGTTGTAGATAAGAGTGACGGGACTGATTCAGAATCAGGAGCACAAGAGGAAGATATCATCCCCGATGAGATTTACAAGTCTCGCCTTGCTAGTATCAAGCGGGTATGTTCCTCCTTATGCATCATCAAAATATTCATTTTCTCTATGTTGATTATTTTCTTGTTTCTTATCATACATATATTAATTTAACATTTCAGGAGGAGGAAGTAGTTCTGCGTGAGAGAGAGAGGTATGAACTGGAGAAGGGTCAGCTTATAAAGGAGATGAAGCGCATACGAGATGAAGATGGTTCTCGGTTCAACCATTTCCCAGTTTTGAATTGCCGATATGCTCTTCTAAATCTTCTTGGTAAAGGCGGATTTAGTGAAGTGTATAAGGTCAGAACATTGATTGATACCATTATTTGTACGTGTGAGATATATTTGCAGTAGTTTGATGTTACGGATTTGAGCAGGCATATGATTTGGTGAATCATAGATATGTTGCGTGCAAGCTTCATGGTTTAAATGCTCAGTGGAGTGAAGAAAAAAAGCAAAGTTACATCCGACATGCCATGAGGGAATATGATATTCATAAAGATCTTGTGCATCACCACATTGTACGGCTTTGGGATACATTTAGAATTGACCTGGATACATTCTGCACTGTTCTGGAATATTGTAGTGGTAAATCAAAAATCTCTGATCTCTTGGTGTGTAAAGTTAAGGAGGGTTTGTCTGTGGCTTTCAGTTCTCATTCGCATGTTTTGAATTTTAATGCAGGAAAAGACCTTGATGCGGTTTTAAAGGCAACACCTAATCTTCCTGAGAAAGAAGCAAGGATTGTCATTGTACAAATAGTTCGAGGCCTTGTATATCTGAACAAAAGATCACAGAAGATAATCCACTATGATTTGAAGCCAGGGAATGTTCTGTTTGATGAGTTTGGAGTAGCAAAAGTGACTGATTTTGGTCTTAGCAAGATAGTGGAAGACAATGCTGGTTCTCAAGGAATGGAGCTTACATCACAGGGAGCTGGAACCTACTGGTGAGCAATCTTGTGTTAGTGTTATCCTTGATATGAATTTTTGGTTTACTCTCTTCTACTTCCATGACGCCTTATAGCTATAACAAGGTTGAAAATCATGGATTTCAGGTACTTGCCCCCAGAATGTTTTGAGCTTAGCAAAACTCCTATGATCTCGTCAAAGGTTAGCGAATGGCTCAGTAATGTCTTTATTAAAACGTGTTAAAAAGTTTGGTGGTCCTAAACAGTGCTCAATGTTCAGGTTGATGTATGGTCGGTTGGTGTTCTGTTTTACCAAATGCTATTTAGAAAGCGACCCTTTGGACATGACCAAAGCCAAGAACGGATACTACGAGAAGACACAATCATTAAAGCCAAAAAGGTTGACTTCCCAGCAAAACCTGCCATCTCGAATGAAGCAAAGGTAAAATTAGCTGTGCCGTAGAACAACCAAATGGTCGTTAAATCTTTCTCCATGGTCACTCACTGTTGCATTTTTCTGCAGGATTTGATTCGAAGGTGTCTAACATATAACCAAGCAGATAGGCCTGATGTTCTAACTCTGGCACAGGATCCTTATCTTTCCTACACTAAGAAATGAGAATGTGTAGTCTTCACAAACAAACCGGAGCTACTGAAGGACCAGTTCCTAGATTGTTTTCTTTTTGTACAGATTATAAAGTTTTTTGTTTGTTTATTTAAATCTTGAATTAATTCGGCTGTTTTCCTATAATCTGTGTGATATTTTATGTATATTCTTAACTTTTTGAATAGAATATAAACTCAAAGTTGAGACAGGCTCCAAATCTTTCTGCCATGTTCTGCTTCTCAAGTTCTACAAACTCAAATGTGAACAGTTGAATAACTAAACTTATTGCTTCGAAACAGACAAGCCTACAACTTGGATGGTTGTGTGGTCAACCCAAAACCGAACGGGTACAACGGGTCGTAGTGCTGGTCCCCAACATTCATTGGCAACTGATTCACAGACTTAAACCACGTCCGAGCTAACTTTCCAGTGAATCCATAATCACCAAACAGAGCATCAGTCACTCCTTGACCTTCCGTTCCTGGAAGCCAAGCTGCCACAAGTGTATCAATGGTCGAGACATAAGGCTCCATCACCACGGGACGGCCAGAGACCACAACCACCACACACTTCACTGCTCCACACACGTTCCCTATTGTGCTCGGACCAGGTTCACTTATGGTCAGGTTAGTGCTGTCTCCATACATTTCAGCATAAGGCGGCTCACCCACGACCACAATGGCATAGTCAAATTTACCAGACTTCACGAAGTTTGCATCGGGGTTTTGATTGTAGACGACTTGTGTGGTTGGAGCCACTGTATTCTTCACAGCCGTAAGGATTGTTGTACCTGCGATATATAACCAAACTCAGGATAACATACACATTCAAAAGGGAAGTAAATTAGTAAAACATACCGACGGTGAGGTCGTTGCCGTTAAGGCCTTGCCAAGTGATGGTCCAGCCACCACATTGATATCCCAAGTTATCAGCGTGTGTTCCCGCCACAAGGATCTTTCCCGCCTTCTTAGGCAGAGGAAGCAACGGTTTATCGCCTTGCTTCTTACCATTCTTGAGCAGCACTAGAGATTTCCTCACGGCTTCACGAGCTAGTTCCCTGTGTTCCTGTCACAGTTGCAAAGTGTTTTTGTTCAGTTTCAAACTGTTGATGAGTAACAGAGGAGGAGGATAAAACAAATAAAGGACCTTGCTACCAAGATGGTTGGCAAAGCTGAGATCAGCTAGTGGTTCCTCAAAAAGTCCCATTGTAAATTTGACCCTTAAGATTCTCTTCACAGCGTCATCAATCCTGCTCATCGGAATCAGATTTTTGTTTATCTGACTGTTGATTTCATCTATGAACTCTGTGTAGTTGTATGGCACCATAATCTGCATCAGAGACAGACATACAACAATCAAGTAAACTGTGAAGCGCATACCAAACAACATGCAAAGGTAGAATCATTTCCGAGACCAACCATGTCAATTCCAGCGCTGATTCCCGCGTAAACAGAGTATGAATAGTTAAGATGAGGAGGACTCGTGATCCTATCAATCCCCTGCCAATCAGAGATGACAAAACCCTGCAAGGAAACAGAGCTTTTAGAACCAAAGCACAGCACAACACAGAAAGATCAAGTTGCATCAACATGTATCATTTTCTTACTCTGAACTTCAGCTTGTCCTTGAGGAAACCCGTGACGAGTTCCTTGTTAGCATGCATTCTCAAATCGTTCAAGGCAGAGTAGGACACCATAACCGTTGCAACACCTTTGCTTATAGCGTTGTAATATCCAGGCATGTGAATTCCGTATAGGCCTTTGGAGTCAATCACAGTGTTGTTCTCATCTATCCCTCTCACTGTACCTCCATCTCCCACAAAATGCTTAGCACAAGCCGCAACTTTTGATCTGTATCAGTCACAAGCTCAGTTAGATAAATCCATGGAATTAGTGTTCATGTCATACACTAATGCATTTATTAAGTTAAAGACTGCAATGAATCTTAGCCAAAATGATATACTAATAGTTTCAATGAGACAAGCTCATTTTCTCTCCTCTAAATATAAAGGATATAAATGAATGGGACAGGGACTGCTTAGATGCTTCACACTGGTCCTACAGTGGCATAAATTCAAAACTGTGAGTGTGACTCTTTAAGAACTTGTCTGAACTTACTATAGATAGAGATGAAACGTATAACATGGGTTGGCCAATTATAGAATGCAAGATAGGCTTCGCACTTGCAAAATTGACAATCACTACACTGATTAACACTCAATGAACAGCAAGTTTTAGACAAAAGCACGCGTGATCATGACTCGAGGCTTGTCCCCCCACTTTAATCATCAAGATTCAAACATAAAGAAGTAACTCAAATCCTAACCAAATCTAGTCGAAAAGGAAAGCTGAGTTAACATAGAATAAAGAACATCTTAAGGCCTTAAAAACATATTCATATTAGATAGTTACAACACAGAAACATATCAAAGGTTATCTATTACAGGCGAAGATATACTTACTTGCCACCGACAAAGGGAACACCTCTTCGCTCGGTAGGAAGGTCACCTTGCAAACCGGGTATAATCTCAGTCATCTCTTGAACAATTCTATAATCCTCACTATAGCTCTCGTAACATCTTCCCCATCTCGGATCCCTACAAACCTGTCAAAAGCAGAACTATTAAGTACACAGGTTTCTTGATCAGACCACTTCAAAGTTCAAACTTTATACTTACTGCAATGCAGGGAGCAAAGGCATATGGGATTCCAGTCGCTCTCACTTCAAGTGCTGTTGCTTCCCCAATCCTCTTAAGAAGCTTAGGATCTCTATAAGATTAGTCAAAAACACACAAACACAAAACTGTTCTCATCTTCATTGCCTTACACAAGTTTAGTCATAAACAGCTAAAGGCCTTGTGGTTGTGGACAAACTTGCCTGGTGACACCAAGGCCAACATTGTGAGGAAAAATGGTGGCGCCATACACATTATTGTGACCGTGAACAGCATCAATCCCATAGATCATAGGGATCCCAAGGCGGGTCGAAAGAGCAGCCTTTTGAATATCATTGACCATATTCACCCAAGCTTCAGGTGTAGCCTTTGGTGCAGGAACACTTCCTCCACCACTCAACACACTCCCTACACATACATAAAAACATAAAACCAACTCACTTAGACAATACATGGAACACTTGAACAACTCCAAAAAAAAGATTTATTCATTTCATACCAATGAAGTAGTTCTTCATGACATCAGGTGTGGCAACGCTGCGTTCAATCTGAACCATCTGACCAATCTTCTCTTGAAGAGTCATACGGTTCATAAGGTCCCTGATTCTTGCACCTAGAGGCTGCTTTGGGTCTTTGTACTTTGGAGAAGCCCCAGTATCAGCAGCGGCCAGGGTACAGAACAGCAAGAGAAGACATAAAGCCTTACTCAAAGTCCCCATTTTTCTACAAAAAAATATCAAGTGGAGATAATAATCAGATCTAAGCTATCAGGAACTGTTCCATTGTATATAAATAAAAAAACGTAAAATATTGGCTAGACAAAGAATCTGAAGGATGAGTTTAAGAAGGTAACACATTACAGGATAGAGCTGGAAAAAAAATCAAAGCTTTGCTTATTTTGATGACAGGTTTTGAAAAAAACAATCAGATCTTTAGAGTTTAAAAAAAACAAAAAAAACTAAAGAGAAGAAGAGACACAGTGAAGAATCTTTTATTGGGTGTTGGTACAAAAACAGACCAAAGTATTTTGAAATAAATGCAATGAGAAGAAGAAGAAGAAAGGAATAAAATTTACGATTGGAGAAGAGGAAAGAAAGAAACTTACAGTCTTGGGAATGAGGAGGAAGGAGAGATAGAAGAAGAACTTTTCTTGCAACTGTAGAGTAAATCTCTCTTCTCTACGAAACGGTAGAGTGAGAAAGAGAGAGAGTGAGATCTTGAGAAAGTGTGATGCTGCTGCTTCTTCGTGCTACTTCTCTTGTTTTTATAAAACCATTGAAAAGTTGTTCTCCTTTTTGTCCACGTCCCTTCTCACTTTTTCAAACATTATACCCACAAAAAAAATGAATTCAAAAAACAGGTTACCCATAGCGAAATCAGCTAAAAAAATCGTATAAAATGTTTAATACTCATAAAATGATTTATCTTGTGGTTTGTCATTTTAACTAAGTTCTTGGTACTAATTAAAAAAAAAGAATTATTATTATTGTTGTTATTTTTAAGGTTTTCACATAGAGAACGAATTGCTGAGACCAATAATAAGGTGAGACCAATAATAAGGGTAAGATAAAAGACTAAACTGCTTAGAGTAAGATTATCGCTGTACTTATCGACGTATCTTAGCATAATGATCATTAAATTTAAATCAATAATAAAGAAAAATGAGAGAAACGTTTGTTAATGAAGAAGTTTTGAAACGCATTCTTAAGGGTACGTGTCAGCCTCCGGTAGAAAGACCGAATGGGGAAGGGGAACGTCGAGTTTCATTTCTCTCTCGTTTTCATCATCTCCCTCTTCTCTGTTGAAGGCGATTCTCCACCCGACCGATCTGTTTTCGCTCAAACCTTCTCCGCCGATTCCAATCTAAACCAGGTATGTGTTCCTCTTCTATCGGCTCCGTTTTGAGAGTTAGATGATTTTTTTTTTTGTCATTCTCGATCAATCTCCTCTGTTTTGAGGGTTGGTTGGGTTATCTTCTGCCGGCTTTGATTGTATGCTTTGTGTAATCTGACTGCATGGTTGGGATTTTTTTGATCTTAGATTGAAAAATTAGGGTCGATTTAGGGAATTGAGTAAATTTTTAAATGTAAGAATACGGTGTGTAATCTGATATTGTTTTTGTAACTTGGTGGTTATAAAATTGTATTTGATGGTGATTTGAAAGGATTTGTTTGTTTTCGTCTCTTCAAATGTAACTTGGTGTTTTCATGTAACTCTGTGTTTGTTTTCGTCTCTACGCATCATTCTTATCTTTTTGCTCGTGCCAAGTTTGGAACAGATGGGAGTTTAACTATGTGTTGGTTTCGTATCTGGTTATACGAGTAGATGGGAGTTTAACTCTGTGTGGTTTTGTAAGTCATTCCCATTTTGAACTCTTGGTTTAACTCTGTGTCAGTGATTTGGTAGACATTTTATATAATCAGTCTTGGTGATTTGGTAGACATTTTACATGATCATTCCCATTTGAAACTCATTCGATTTTCTAACTCTTTATTTTTGTAGACATTTTATATGATCAGTCTTGGCGATTAGAAACTCTTCCCATTTCAAACTCATCCGATTTTGTAACTCTTTGTTTTTGTAGACATTTTATGTGACAAGTCTGGGTGATTGAAACTCATTCCATTTCAAACTCATCCGATTTTGTAACTCTTTGTTTTTGTAGACATTTTATGTGATAAGTCTTGGTGATTGAAACTCATTCCCATTTCAAACTCGATTTGAAACTTATTCGAGACAAAACTCATATAATTCACTCATTTTAGAAAGACATTGGTGATTTAATGGTGATTTTAACTTGATAAATTTGATGCTAAATTTTTTTTTTTTTTGAATGAATTCCTCTTTTAATTTATTGTGTAATGTGTTAGGTTTAATAACTTCTGATT